TTATTGGATTTAAGAATCTGTAAATATTCACTTCAATCACATGAAAAGAATCTGGGTATTCAGGGGGTAACCAGCGATTAGTTTTGTACATGATTTGATGATTAAAGTGAAAATCCACATAACATTTAAGTGAAAATTCTCAGCCTCTTTAATGAATCAGTTTCATTGCAGTGTCTGTTTTTTTTTGTTTGTTTTTTTTTTTTACAAGCCGTTTATTCTATATGTTCTAAAAGTGTTTCTGTGCTTTCTCATTGGTATGGGTCTGGACGTTTTTGTTCTGGAAGTAAATGATTACTAGCGCCCTAATAAAGAGCACATGACTGGCAGGCTCAGAGTGCCATGGCACGGTGCTTGTACATCGTCACTACTGCTACAAGCAGGGTGCTATAATTACTACAGACAGAGCTGCTCATTTGTTCCTGTGCCAGTATATTTATTTGATTATGTAAACAATCGTGAGAAATGGCAACCATGAATTAAACACAGTCTGGGTTTCTCGGGATCGTACAGGTAAGTACATCCCTCCTAGGTATGCACTGTGGGGGAGAGTTACTAAAACTGGAGTGCTCAGAATCTGGTGCAGCTGTGCACTGTAGCCAATCAGCTTCTAATTTCAGCTTGTTAAATTAAGTTGTGACAATAAAATCTGGAATCTGATTGGTTTCCATGCTGAGTAGCATCATATTTTGCACTCTCCAAATTTAGCAAATCCCAATGTATTGTTGTATTCATTGATAGAGCATTAACACCTTCCAATACCACGTGAGAAAAAAAAAACAAAAAGCAGGGGCTATGACAATGACAATAACATACATACACCAGGAATGAGATTTCTGACATTTATGAATATATTCCTGCAATCTGAGTAATGGCCTAGTGATCTGGGGCTGTGCTCACCTCCTTCCTCCTACCTGGGATAAGCATTGCTATGTCATGGAGAGAAGCCGCCTTTGTGACTTCTTATTGCTGCGTTTGATTGCTATAAATCAGAAGAGAAGCTTATCAACGAGGATTATAGACCGCATAATCCTAGAAGGCAATTGCATGAACAGCTCAGACACGCATACCTTCACAACTAGACGTGGCAAATTTTTCCTCTCCAATAATATGGAGTGAATTACATTGAATGAACTCCTGACAGATTGTCCTCTTCACAAAGTGCACTTCTAGGTCTAATTATCATTCTGAGTGATTTGTCCAGGCCAGCAGAGCCCTGTCAGGGGTTCTTGTAGTAATCACAAAACAATTACACAGGTACTAGAGCACAATTCAGCTAGGTGTAAAGAGTGGATCATGCAGGGGCAGCGCACATCCACCAATTGTCAGCTCCTCTGTGTCAGGGGGATCTCCCCCCCACCCGGCTGGTAAAAGGATCATCCGCCCAGCCCTGTGTGTTATTTGGTTATAATTAGTCATGCTCCTCAGATGTTTGTCTTGCCTATTTCACACACACAACATCCCAGCCCACTGAATGATGAGAACTATCAGGAGACACAGGACAAAACCACAATCCTGGACATTGCCAATCATACACAATATACAAAACCTGCACTCAAATCAGCAACAAGGTACACTTATTCACACAGGGCAGGGGCAACAAGACATACCTACATACACAATAGTACATTTTATTGTTCTTAGACTTTCTATCATTGTTTTTTATTTATCTATCTATCTATCTATCTATCTATCTATCTATCACCTACCGACCTACCTACCAATCTATCTATCTATCTATCTATCTATCTATCTATCTATCTATCTGTATTGTTTTGAACTTGCTCATACTGTATGAACACCCACACACACTATATATATATATTATATATATATATATATATATATATATATATATATATATATATATTAAAGTGTGTTAGCCATATCATACATTGCCCACACTTTGCTTGTAACATATTTATATATATATATATATATATATATGTTACAATGTGTGTGTGTGTATATATATATATATATATATATATATATATATATATATATATATACACACACACACACACACACACTCAGTTCAGTTGTTATCTCATATGTTTCTATATTATGCCATGAAAATATTAGCACTAATCTGATGTTCCGTTTATTATATTTATTATTTGTTGTAAATGCAGTACTAAGAAATAGGTGAATTTTCTGTTGGTCTGATTTACTAAAGGAGTTAAGAACCATCACAAGATATATTCACATTATTAAATAATTCGAAGATAAAACAATTAAACAAAAATGTGCTTATTTATTATATGACTGGATGATTTAAATAAATCTTCACTTCCTGAGTAAATCAATCTATCTATCTATCTATCTATCTATCTATCTATCTATCTATCTATCAAGCATTATTGATGTTCATTATTATCATGTTTTATCGGCATGGAATAATCAGCTCATAACCGCTGATTTTTCTAGAATCTATTCTGTCCAGTGTTAATTAAATAGGAATTTTGTCACTTTTGCTAAGAAAAGAATAAACCTTATTTCGGCCCTTTAGGAACATGCAGAACAATCTAACATTACATTCTCCATGTTGGTTAGAAAACAGAGGATCTTGCGTAAAAGCAGCTGCATAGATGTCCTACAGTAAAGTCTCCGAAATTAACAAATCTATATTGGAAGCAAGGCACAGAACACAAGTTTAATTTTGATTCCATTGTAAGGTATGAAAGATTGTTCGGGACAGACTCATGAGCCAGCGGTGTCACCATTTGCCCACTGGTCACAATGCCAAATATCCCCGAATCCCAGTCTTCCCAATATCTTCCCATGTCCAGTCATTCCCAGCTGCAATACCCTCTCCATAATCTGTAGGACTTTCATTCACTGTTTTAAAAATGTTAAAATAGTTATACCATAGAAGTAAAGATAAACCTTTCTAAGAAACACCTTAGACGTCAGAAAATAAAAGGCTTGATTTTACAGACCTACATGTAAACGCCATAAATGTATATCAAAACATTAAAAAGTCTGGCTCATAATGTAGAGATTTGAATAAGAATTGAGGCCTAAATAAATATCCAATATGTATTATTATTATCATGATGATGATTACTGTTATCGTGATGATGATTAATATTACAATAATGATGATGATTATTTATTATTATTATTAATAATATCATAATCATATTTATTATTATTTCAGCCAATGAACGTGTGGCTTTTTTAACCTGTGTAACTATTTTGTTATTTTATGTTAATAATTGAACGCCTTATTTAAACAATTCTATTTTTTTTCTCCATGCATGAAAATAGCACCGGTCCTGCAAACAGTAAATACACGTAACATATTAAAACGTATTTTGCGTTAAAAATATATTTGATCTCAGTATAGAGCTTATCGCTAGAACAGACTTTCCTCCTTTAACAAGCGGCTATTTATGAGCAATAACCATTAAAGATCGACTGTGACAACGAGCCATAACAATTACTCTAAAGTGCCCCCTTCTAGATAAAGCAGCCTGATTACTCCCAGCTTTATCAGCCGAGGCCTAGCTGTCTGTAATCTGTTCATCATCTTTCACATACTGATTGACAGGGCGGATCACTGGAAGCTAATGAATTGATTGCAGTTCCTGATCTATCAGTACAAGAGGAGGGGATGTACACTGCCTCGGGTTTGTACCTTGTAAATTAAGGTAAGAGATAGCTGGAATATCCGATCTGACAAGAAGTAGACAAGGGCTGGAGTCCTCTAGTAAATGTATCATCACGTACACCTACTTCAAACAATGAGCACACAGATTTTCACACAATAACAGGGGATACTTGTATCTTTTTATCACATTCCTCCCCCTACCAGCTATAAATAACATTAGAGTGTGTGGAGGATTGCTCAACTCATATATCATTGTTATCACACTGATATCGAAATTAAATTATAATTTATATATGGATATTTTTATATATATATATATATATATATATATATATATATATATATATATATATATATATATATATATATATATTAGATAATTAAATTGATATGAGATGTAGATATCCAATTTCCAATTAGCCTTCAAATCAATTGCATAATAATAACACAACTCATGCATTATTTAAACATGGTGATAACTAATTGCTAATTGTATTGCAACTTTAACATACTAATAAAAAAAAAACTTTTTAGAGAAATAAGAAAAGTAATAATATAATTAAGAGATCACTTTCCCTCCACCATACAATTAGTGCAAATAAAAGATAAAATTAAAAGATCAAAATAATTAAGAATATAATTAATAGATCACCTTTCCTTCACCAAACAATTCGTGGAAATAAAAAACAATAATAATAAAATATAATCATCATAATAATAAAGATTATATTATTAAATGCACTGCATTAACGATGTTACTTTTAAAAATTAGCAGACGTCGTTATCGTTCAATCCGATTGGTCATTTATTAGGAAACAAACAAATACTACTATGCCTTCAAAATATTTTCAACAGAAAAAAAAAATAAAAACAAACCGATAAAATAAATGGGGGTACATTTCCCTTTTTTTTGTAATGAAAACACAAGTGTTCAAACAAAGCTGTTAGACAACACTGTCTGGTTTGGTCCTCATTCTCCATGTACACTTCTTTTAAAAAATAAATTACTATATTGCAATTTACATCTTAGAACAAGTTCATAAAAAGCTGGCCTTATATATATATGCTCTTTTAACATATGAAAATAGGATACCTTACAAAATGGGATCTCTCAGAACAATGGGGGGGAACTTGCGTGTAGTTTGTAAAAATTCTAACACTGAACCCTGAACATTCTGAGTCTTTGTACAAAGCTAGGTTTGATTTTTATTTGGATGGAAGTTTTGGAGATTTTTTTTTACTCACTAACAATGTGTCTAATGAGCAATGGATAGAAGTTTGGGGCTAGGTTGGGGTCAGAACTTGCTGCAGTCATAGACAAAGGCCCCTGATGTGCGGTACAGGGACTGGCTGGAAGGAAAGGACATCTGACAGCTGCTATTACCATTCACTGGGGAGCTGTTTTTAAACCAATTCTCTGTGATTCGAACATCTCTCGCACAGAGTGGAAGTTCTGCTGCTGTCCTGGGTAGGTGGCCCCAGTTAGGTGGCCCAGATCCCCCGACTGATTCAAGTACCATGAGGGGAGCCTGCCTTGGTGTGGATGGTCCTGTCCAGTGCTCAGGCTGCCATGGCTGAGAGCAGAGGTGGTGGTGGTGGTGATGGAATAATCAGGTAATGTCTCTTCCACTGTAGTCGCTGCCGGGGTGTTGGTGGGGGTCAAGTGACCAGACCTGTCCCCTGAATATAGACTCATGGCTTGCATGTTACAATGATAGGTCCCTGTGGAGCCTGCAGCACTGGTGCTCTGGCTGCAAGGTGAGCTGTAGATAGAGCCCTGGCCTGGAGAATAGCTTAGTGAGAGAGAAGGGGCGATCCCTGTCCTGGAAGAGGCGATCAGACTGGTGGCTAGTTCTCCAGAACCTTGGGGAGATCCTCTAAGGGAGGTCATGATGTTGTCCACACTGAAGCCCTGGTTGTGGTGCTGTTGGTGAGGGTGGTGGGACTCTTCCAGGCTCAAGGACCTGCTGGACGGGATGCTGTGCGGGCTACCACTGGACATACTGCTGCTGTCAGGGCTCTCTATCTTAGGCACCGCACTGAGGGCAGGTGACATGGCCTGGGGAGGAGAAGAGGTCCCATTCTCGGTCTTTATATCCTGGATCCTGATTGGCTGGTTGCTGCTGTCTTGCTCCCCTTGACTTGGCTGAGCCTGCCGCTGGGACTGCTGCTGGCCAGAAGGTGCCTGGGTGCCATGATGTTCCTTCAGGAGTCGCTCCTTCTCATCTTTGGCCCCATCTTTGACCACATCTTTTTTCTTGAACCTTCTCCTCCTCCTCAGGAAGCTGCCATTCTCAAACATGTTGTAGGAGTCTGGGTCCAAAGTCCAGTAACTGCCCTTGCCTGGTTTCTTGTCGTCCCTGGGCACCTTGACAAAGCACTCAAAAAAAATGAGGGACAGGTTATGTCTGATGCTGTTCTGCCAGCCTTGCTTGTTGTCCCTGTAGAAGGGGAACCTCTCCATGATGAACTGATAGATGCCATTCAGGGTGATCTTCTTGTCTGGGGCGTTCTGGATGGCCATGGTGATCAGGGCGATGTAACTGTAGGGGGGCTTCACCATGTCCTTCGGCTGAGGTTGGGGGGTGTAGGGCCCATAGGCTCTGGCCATGCCAGCCTGGTACTGTTCATGAGCCGGGTGGGAGTACATGCTCATTGGGGCAGGCATGCCAGTGTAGCCCCCGCCAGCGGCCGCCGCAGCAGCAGCTGCTCTGTAGTAGCCTTGCTCCGCTCCCAGATACGGCACGACACCCAGGGAGTTGGGGCTGGACACCGAGTACCGCGCCTGCATGGTGGGCCGAGCACGCCAGCCTCCCTCCTATTGATCGGGCTGAGCTGTCAGCAGGCGATCTCTAGCATTCAGGATCCGCACCGATCAGTCCCGACACCGACATCCACACACACGGTACACTCCTGATCCTGCCGGGCCCACAGCACTGCGGACAGCTCAACTCATAGAGTCACACACCGACCGATCTCCACTCCACAGCCGATCCCTCTCCTCCTCCTCCTCAGCGTCCGGACCCCAGTGATCGCAGTCCCGGTGTGTGGGGCGGGGAGCCGGGCAGAGGCGCTTACTCTCTCCTCCCTGGCTGGGGCAGCATTGGGAAAACTTCGCAACTTTGGAGCATCCGTCAGCAGGCAGGGACTTTTTTACAGAGCCCTTCTAGCCCCACCCACTCCAGCACAGCCCTCCAATCGGAGAGCGGAGCTCGTCCTGTGAATGGAAAAAACACAGACAGCTTCCACATACACCGGGGGCCAGGCAGCAGCAGCGAGAGCTGGATTGTACGCACTGACCACACACCCTGCTTCACTCTCATGGCTCCACACAGCACCCCACTGACCCCACATACAGCACCCCACTGACCCCCACACACAGCACCCCACTGACCCCACATACAGCACCCCACTGACCCCCACACACAGCACTCCACTGACCCCCACACACAGCATCCCACTGACCCCCACACACAGCACCCCACTGACCCCACATACAGCACCCCACTGACCCCCACATACAGCACCCCACACACACAGCACCCCACTGACCCCCACATACAACACCCCACACACAGCACCCCACTGACCCCACATACAGGACCCCACACACAGCACCCCACTGACCCCCACACACAGTATCCCACATACAACACCCCACAAATGCAGCAACCCACTGACCCCTTTCCCAATACCCCATTGACCCCCACATACTCCAGCTCCAGGGCCGGTTGGGAGAGAACAGTCATCACTGCAAATACCTTACTAGGGTCACTACTTCACTTCCATGGAACACATCACATGTCATCTTTACATTTGATGGCAGTCATTACAATTTATAAAATATGGAAAAGTAGTTAATGCACAATTTCCTGCCCATCACAATAGTGATCGTTCATTCCCCCTCTACATACACACACACACACCATATATTTGTATACATATAATCTTTTTCTAATATATATATATATATATATATATATATATATATATATATATATATATATATATAAATAATCTCTATACAATATATATAATCTCACGTTCTCTCTATATAAAATATAAAATATTTTAAATAAGATTTTAAATATACAGAGAGATTATATATATATATCTTTCTCTATGTATACATACTTTCTCTTGCTCTCTATATATGTAATACTCAATCTCTCTCTCTCTCTCTCGCCATAATATTCTCTCTCTGTATATGTAATACTCAATCTCTCTCTCTCCATAATATTCTCTCTCTATATATGTAATAATCTCTCTCTATCTCTATCTCCATAATATTCTCTCTCTGTATATGTAAAATCTCTTTTCTATAATCTATAGAGACAGAGCTGTATGGGAATATGTATGCATAAGGTGATATCAGCCATGTTCCTGGTGCTCATAGTTATGCCTGGTTCTTCCATCTACCACCCATTCCAGAGATGATTGCGGTTTGGGTTTTCAGTCTTCGCCAATAAGCCCACACGAAGGTGAGGATATTTAGGTGAGAAGTTGTGGTTCTTATAACTCAAGTATAAAAAAAATAGTCAATAACCTTTGAAAAAAAAATCCCCCACCCGCTATACCGTAACAGAAGGCTGGATGACCAAGCCTAGAGAAGGGCCACCACCATCCATGCATTGACAGGAGACTGACATGTCCTAGAGCTGACTGCACTCATCACAAGCCAACACCAAACTGCACTTCAATGGCTTTATGTGCTAACAATCCTCTCCTCGCATTGATGAATGGCGATCGCCGGCAATACATTAGCCATTTGCTCTATGAATTAGGAACTAGCCATGCACCGTATATGCATAAGAGATGATAGTATTCACATGGAGGGTCACCAAGCTGAAGGCTTCATGACCATATGACCAGTGGTCCCCAACTGTGCAAGTGATCAGAAATTCATTAATACTTTCATCACCAGCAATGAATGTGTGGGTGCCCTCATAGCCTGCTTTTAGAAAATCTAATTAAACCAATTATAGCTGAGTGGGAAAAGTATTGGACACTTGCTAAACTGTTTTGTATATCATAGTTTTGACACCTAAAGAAAGGCTGCTTTGTAGAGATGGTGGTGTCAAGGAACTGTTGGCCTCATTAAAGTCTATTCCGCTCTATTCTCACCTGCCTGTTACTGGCTGAAAATCAAAGCAAGGAAAGTGTGTGTAGCACCTTGTGTGGGGTCACTGGTGTGGGCCACATGTGGTCACGAGAGGGTTAAGGTGAAGGGTCCACAAAGCTCTGGCTGGATGTATTCTACAAATGTTTGTTTGTCTTCAGACCTCTTCCCAACACATAAAAATCTGACACCTGTTAAGACAGCAGTGCTAAATACCCTTAAAGGGTTTGAAATTCCTCTGCTTTGGGAACTCTCTATTATCTTACATGTCCTAGGACATCACCAGGACTTATGCCAATGTAGAAATATTCCCATCAGCCAAATACAGCAGACATTGGTGGGAAGACTTCATTTGGTGGTACCACTTAATTATTCTCCAAAGTCACATCTAATATAAAAGTATACCTAAAATAACATTCTCTCCTCCCAAATAAAAGAATTAGAATATTGTACCTGTCATGACTCTTTTATTGGTGAGTGTCATTTTTTAGTACATTTATACCACATCCAATGTTATATAATTTATTACTGTACGGTAAACCAAATGTCAGAAGAAGGGAAAAATCTAATGAAGCCTCTCCCCAAACACAATCGGCTACTAAAGGAAATTCCACATCATTTTCTCTAGAAATAATTCATTTCAAAGTTTATTTAGAAACAATAGTATAATAATATTATTAGGCGATATTATTAGGCGATGTGATGTTACATTGTTATTTTTTTAGGTTGTCAATAGTTGATCCGTTTTCACAACTCAAAAAAGAAAAAAAAGAAACGATGAAAGGCTTATTTGTAAAATAATTTAACGTTAGACGATATAGATATATAGCACCAAGTGCAACGTCATTCGTGTATTTCTGAATATATATATAACTGTTTGTGTATGTATGTTAGGCTAGTGGTTGATACAGGTGAAAGAAAAGTTTTCTCTCCAGATTTTCCTTCCCAGAGACCTGCAGATGAACTTTTATTTGCCAGCCTGAGGCTGTTTATACTGAGCTAGATATCCACTTTTCACTCTGCTACCCCCTCTCTTAATAAACAGGCGGCTTACTCAGCCGCATTACCTCAGTCCTTGCTGTTCTCCTGGCCAGGCTGGGAACAAGTAGAGTCAAGGCAGAGGGGAGGTATGAGACCTCTGTGACTGCAAATCCGGCTCCAGACATTTCACCCCATGCACTAATATATAGAATGGAAACAGTAACAATACGGGGAAACCAAGACTTCTATGTACCTCTACAAACGCTACTGCCAATGACATTCAGTGTATTGGTTAGTGTGCAATTTGATTAAAATATACATAAACAGGAATGGCCTAGCATTTTTGTTTCATTTACATGACATAGTAAACAAGAGTGTTATATGAAAATCAGACTTTTTTTTATTTTTTTGGATGATGATAATAATAATAATATTACTTCTAATAATGATAATACTAATGATACTACTACCGGTAATTATATTAATATTATCATTATTATTAATAATAACAATAATTTTATAGTGATACTACTACTATTACTACTATTAATAATAATAATTTTAATAATAATTATAATATTGATAATTTACTACTACTACTACTACTACTACTATAATTTTCAACAGTAATAGCAATAATAATAATTTTTTATAAAAAGATACTGCCAGTACTACCACCACCACCACCACTACTACTACTACTAAAAATAATAATAACAAAAACGATACTACTACTACTATTATTATTATTAATAATAATAATTCCAATATTGATAATTCAGTACTACTACTACTATTACTACATCTATTATTAACAGTAACAGCAATAATACTCATTATTACAATGAGTACCACCACCACTACTATTACTACTAATAATAAAAATGATACTACTACTACAATAATAATAACAATAATGATAATAATAGTTTTATAATGATATTACTACTACTGCTACCACTAATAATATTTTTAATAGTAATTCTAATAATGATAATTAAATACTACTATTAACAGTAACAGTAATAATAATACTTTTCTTTTAATGATACTGTCAGTACTACCGCTACTATTACTACTACTATTATTAATAATGATACTGCTACTAGAAATAATAATAATAATCATATTTAAAGTTCTGCTAACAATCTTGATGAAACCTATAAAACCTGACCAGACTGTGTTATTGATGACTATTTTTTTTTCACAGCTAAACTGTAAAATAGGAAATATCAAAAGAAATGTGAACTAGCAGAACAAGGATTCCTTTCTTTAGCATGAATACAACAGACTGGTTTCCAACAAATCCGATCCTAGATTATTTTTGTTATCTCTCAAATCTAATAGAATATAATAATTTCAGCCATGCCCATAGTTTCCATGCATTCTACTTGTCAGCTTTAGTTTAGCATTGTGGCAGGGTGGATGAAGGTTACTTGGGGTGACAATCAATTCCTGTAGTTTCATATAATGTCCATCAGACAGACCCCCTGGTTGTATTTCAGTGGCCGGGGAGGAGCAGAATGTGGTCCTGTGTTGTCGCTCACATGTGGCACAGATTTGTGGCCATGGACTGGATGCTTAGTCGAGTTTTCTATCATCAGGAAGACAGCATACAATTTATCTGTCCCCATGAAGATACAACGAATGTGGCAGGGCTGATCGGGAAGATGAATGTATGCCTGTCACCT